GTAGCAGTAGCAGTAGTAGTAGCAGCAGAAGTAGCAGAAGTAGTAGCAAAAGGAGAAGTAGTAGTAGTAGTAGTAGTAGTAGTAGTAGTAGTAGTAGTAGCAGTAGTAGTAGCAGTAGTAGTAGCAGTAGGAGTAGGAGTAGCAGTAGCAGCAGCAGTAGCAGTAGCAGTAGCAGTAGCAGTAGCAGTAGCAGTAGCAGTAGCAGTAGCAGTAGCAGTAGCAGTAGCAGTAGCAGTAGCAGCATTGTCTTTACATGTTGTCTCGTACGTTGTTTTAATTTTGCAGCTGCTGCACATGCTGTGTATGTCAGATCTGCTGTTGCAGTTGCCAGGAAGTGTTATGCTGATGTTATGCTAAATATTAAGGAAGTCGGTTGCAGACTTGTGATCAGCCACCATCGCTTACTGTGCCGGGGCGGGGCGGGGGAAGGGTAGGGGTTTGTAAATATGATCAGTCGCCACCGCCTGGGCTAGGGGGGGTTTCTACGAACTTTGAACAATCGCCATCGCCAAAGGGCGCCGTCAGGTGTGAGAAACGTGCTCAACCGCCATGACCTAATTATGGGGCTGGTTTGAGAAGTGTGATTCTGCTAAAGGCGGGAAAACTGTGAATCATTGTAGTGAATCCATGGGCAGGTTCAAGAGACGTGATCAACACCTCATGGCGTGAGGTGACGGGTGAACAGGGGCGGGCTTGAGAATCGTGATCAGCTGCCATCGCCTAATGACGGCGCAAGCGTAATAACAGTGATCAGCGGCATCCCCTAGTCTGAATTGAGACATGTGAGCTACTGCCGTCACCTATCGAGGGACGGGTTTCAACATATTGATTGACCTGCCGCGACACAGGACTGCAACCCCAAAGCCACTCTCAAAAAGACAAGCAGACTAATAATTTCGCAGTTGTGTTTCATGTTCCTTTTTTTCGTGCGATGTGCTCGGTTTTTGAAGCCACTCACCGCCGGAGCTTCGAAGTAGACTCCGAACTGGCGTTGCTTCCCTGTCTTGTCTCGGCTTTCGCGTCGAAACGAAGGTACCACAATCACGCAGTTTTCCTATCAGTGCTGTTGTGTGCTCTTCTTTGATCAAGAGGTGTGCGCCGTGCCACTGTCAAAACTGCTTTGAGAATAACTTCATCCGTTTGGCTGTCGCCATGTCTGTCTCCATGATGGACCAATGCCAAGAGCGAAAGAACCTTTTGCAAGTAGCCTCGTCCTGGTAGCACTGGTTTAATCTCCTAGGTTGAACGACCAAGCCAAGAAACCAAAAGCACTCCTAACATACCCAACTCTAGCTTCGAAAAAGCCCCAATCCCTGTGCCTGTTGCAGTTTCTGTATGATCCCGACAGCAACAACGAAACAAAACACAAAAATAGTGTCAGCCAGCACCTCAGAAAACTGGGTTTTCCAGGAGAGCGCTTTGACGACTTCGTCGTGGTGGACGGCAATTTCTCAAGCCTGCAGCAGGCAGCCGAGATGTTCCCAAGCGGCATCACGCTGCTCGGCGATGCGTTCATCCCACATGACTATCCCGTGGACGCGCGGTATGTGGAGGACTTGTACAGTCAGTTACCTGAAATGGGCTTTGAGCATGCCGGACACAGGGCGCAGTCGCACATGCGGCAGTGGGAGGCCCTAGAGCGCTGCGGCCAGCTCCTGATCAGCCCGGTGAGTCACGCAAACTACACGCTGAGGCTGAGGGACGACAGTGCTATCTTGGAGCCATTCGTGCCACGCCTCGACCTGCTAGACGAATCAGGGCTTTATGCCCCGGCGTGTGGCAGCTTTGGTGGTGTCAACGACAAGTTTGCCCTGATGGTGGGACGAGGAACAGCCGAGCATTACTTTGCCCTTTCTCTGGACATGGTGCGTCATCGGTTTGATGAGATTCACCAGCTCATGGTGTCCAGTGTACCGCGACGCTGCAACCCGGAGCATGCACTTAAAATTATGTTGGATCTCAACCAGACGAAGATCAAGACTCTGGAGCCTGAGGACGTACCCGTCGTGCCTTCGAAGAACCTTCGCCGTGACGGAAAGACATATCAGTGCATCTACACCTTGAATGACGACTACAACGAGTGCATTCCGGAACGGAGCCGTGTACGCATCACGGATATTGAAGGAGGATTCAGCGTCCGCCAGACAGGCTCGCAGCGTGCGCGGCCAGACTTCCTTTGCGATGGCACGGAGCTAGGCTTCTAGGTCCTAGGTTCAGCATCCGCACGACAAAATCGATGCGTGAGCGGATGGACTTCCTTTGAGGTCACAGCTCCACCTTGCTTGCAGGCCTTCTTTCTAGGGCTTAGGATAGGGTAGTGCAGGATAGGATAGGATACATCCAGAGACGGAGATACACAGAGAGAGGCCTAAGTGGAAGACAAACAAGCAAGCAAAGGTTTAGACTTGCTCAAGGCCACGTCTGGAGATGGGATGGTAGATTCCCAGCTCTTGGCAGATTCCCATCTCCGTGCACCACTGAAAAAAAAAGCAGTTGTGCACGTCTTGCGGGATTTGGCTTGCCTTGGGACTGCAAATATGGTGAGGTTAGTCCTGGACCGTGTTGTGGCATTGACGGTGAAGCCTTGCCTGCCTTGATTTGAAATATCATTTCCGTAGAGTCCTTACGTAGTTGTAATACTTCTATATGCCCCAAAACCCTATTCCATTGAAATCCTAAACCCTAAATCCTGTCCTAGCAAGAAATCCTCGTTTAGTCCTAGCTGCGACAGTCTGATCCTCGACCGCGGGTGTCGATAGCAGTCAAAATAGGCGGTCATGGTTGTAGAACCCTTGTGGAACCCTTATGACTCATAATAACAAGGATCAGGATAAGACTATAAGAAATAATGATAAGAATCCCTATCTCTTCAAACCACCTCTGAGCCCTAAACTCGCTTCCCTTACGCACGAACCCTAAACCCTAAACCCTAAACCCTAAACCCTAAACCGTGGCCTACACCCCTTTTCTTGCCCTAAACAGGTGGTGGCCACGGCTCGGGGCCTTTGGCTGCTCATTTCCTGGTCTTGGCCCTTCCAGCTCCACGTCGGGTTTTAAGCGGATCGGGTTTAGGGTTTAGGGTTTAGGGTTTAGGGTTTAGGGTTTAGGGTTTAGGATTTAGGGTTTAGGGTTTAGGGTTTAGGGTTTAGGGTTTAGGGTTTAGGGGCCGGATAGAAAAAGACAGCAGTAGTTTTGGTTCGAAAGGGGCGTTTAGAGACTTGTTCAGGGTCTGAAGGCTTGTTTCGACATGTTTTTGCAGTCTGTCAGAACTTGCCAGGCTTTAGGTGGGCTTGTCGGTGTTTGATGAGGGTCCTAATTACCAGCGGACCGGGCCTTCTTGCAATCCTCTAGAACCCAGGGACTCCAATACCCCTTAATTAAGGAATATCCCTTTGAATCATATTAGGGATCCTACTATAGTTTAAGCTATATTCCTTAATTAAGGGGTATTGGGGTCTCTGGGAAGTTTTGTTTCGTGGCTGAAACCGTAAACAGCTCGGACCATCCCTGTGCCATGCCAGCTTCGTGCGAGGGTGTGTCGAAGCCCTGAACTTTCGTAAACCCCTAAACCCTCAACCCCTAAACAAACCCATAAACCCTAAACCTTAAACCCGAAACCCCTCGACCCTAAACCCTAAACCCCTCGACCCTAAACCCTAAACCCTGAACCTGCAACCCTGAGCCTGGAGCCCGAACAAGTAACCCGGATAGAACAAGTAACCCGGATAGACGGAAAAGGGTCGAGCAAACAAACCCGAGACCCGAAACCCGAACGTAAGGGCCTAAGTAAGTACCAATACTATTTTGTGGGGTTCCTTATTATTCTACTTATAGTATAGTGGGCCCCAAAACCCTCTTCTAATTATTAACCCCAAACCCTAAACCCTAAACCTAAACCCTCTTCTAATTATTAAGCGCCTACGTCCCAAACCCCAAACCCTAGATGAGATTCAGGGGCTTCGGGATTTCGCAGGCCTTGAGGCTTTCCGGGACAAGGACTCGGGGGAGTGACGGGAGCGGATGCGATCCTGTTGTTTTGGGTTTAGGGCTTCAGGGTTTTGGGGTGTAAGCTCTTGCAGGCTGGATGCAAAAAGGGCTTCTTGTTTTTAGAGCTTAGGTTTTAGGGTTCGGGTTTAGGGTTTAGTTTAGTCTTGTCGGGCCTACTGGAGCTTACCTGTTTGGGCCCTTACATGCCGTGTAGGCCCGAAGGCAACAGAACGCCTTAGCCAAAGCCTTCCTGAAGCCAGAACCCTGAGCGCGAGTTCCACGTGTCCACAGGTTTGGGGCTAGGGTTTGGCTTCGGCTTGAGGGTTCAGGGAGGGCTAAGTTGATAGGGGATTTAGAGGGGTTCGAGGTTTAGGTTGCCAAGACCGGTGCGCTGATGGTTTAGTTTAGTCGTAGTGGTGACCCTGCTTGCATACTGCATGAAGCAATCCATATATGGGAGTTTCCGAACATAAGGGGCACCTTATTTTGGGGTCCTTATAATAAGGATCCTACTATTTAGGGTACTATATTTGGGCCCCCTATTTTCGGAAACCCCCATATCGACAACTCTGCGAAGCTGAAGGTTCATCGCCATGGTTCTCACCGGGCTCCTCATGGGTGCCCGGGAGTTTGCTCTTTATGGCATGGCCAACATCCTTTGCCAGCTGACGCTGGCAGGGCTGCTTGCCTGGAGAAAGTACCAGTGCTACAACCATGATGATGACCATGAGATATGTATATTTATGATTAACTGTATTATGACAATTCTAGTCAATATTAATGTTTTGTTGCTGTAGTATTTTATTACTTTACTGTGGTATGGTTTGCTATTGAAATAACACTTAGACTTTGCAACGGTACGTGCAGCAGTAGCAATAGAAATGTTATCCAACAAATAAATACAATACAGAAGTCTAACCAAGCAATGTACGCATATATATGTATATATATATATACAGTAACTATATGAATCGAATAGTACTAACTATAGTAAGCAAATAGTAAATACGCGACAAAATCAAATGATAACAGTACAATAGTAGCTATATGCATGACACTAGTAATACTAAGGATACCAGCAATGCCACTCGTACTAATGAAAATGAAAATACTAATGGTACTAATCGTACTATAGTAGCAGTAGCAGCAGCAACAACAATACAGTAATCACAGTAGTGACATTAAGTGGGCGATCTGAACTCGAAGGAAGCCTTCACCAGCCATGGCAGTACCCAGCTGACATGCAGCAGCAGTAAGAGGAGGAGCAGAAGCGTAAGTGTCAGTGTTGCTCGTCGTGTTGTTGTTCTTGTGGTCGTTGTTCTTGCGGTTTGTGGTGGTGGCCCTAAGCCCTAACCTAAACCCTAAAGCCAAAGTGCTTTCGCCTCGTACCAGGAACCTCGCCTAGGCATGTCCGAGAGTGAGTGCTGAAACCCTAAAGCCTCGTTCCGAGGGAACCTTAAGCCCTAGACCCTAAACCCTGAACCCTAAACCCTAAACCCCTAAACCCTGAACCCTAAAGCCCTGTTCCGAGGGCTTGGTTCTTCGGCCCGAAGCCCATGAACTTGCCTCTGCTCGGCTGGGCCAGCTTCGCCTCGAATGTGGGCCAGGGCCAAATTTAGGGCCAAATCGGGTTGATGTGGGGCTTAAATGGGCTTAATACAGGGGCCTTGATATCATTAGAACAGGGTTTGGGGTATATGCTACTGTAATTTTAATAAGGAGCCCCGAAAACCCTGCATTACATGGCTTACCCCTTTGAAACTTTGGGCTGGTCGTTTGAGGGCTTTAGTACCAAACCGCAACTGGCGGATTGAGGGTTTAGGGATGCAGGAGAGCATTTGGGGTGCAAAGTTACAGTGGCCTAGGTAACAGGTCAGAAGTATCTTTCACAGGTTCTGGGTCATGACCGCCATCTCCATTAACTCTGTTACTTAGCTCGAGATTGTTTTTTCCCGTCATCGCGGTCGTCATCACCATGAACATCAGGATGATGATGATGACGATCCTCGTCATCATCTCCACCATCTCAGTCACCATCAGCAACAACAGTGTTCCCATCATCACCATCACTTTGGCATACTTTGGCCCTCACCGTCGTCATCATGGCCATCGCCATGTTCAGATTTGTGTTTGTATCCCACCAACTCCCGCCCTGTTTTGCGGGTTAAGGTGGTGTTGATGGCGGTGATGGCCGCGACCATCGCTCTGAATCGTAGCCCGGCGAAGACTTATGCGGGTAGAGCTCTAAATCCGGGTCCCTTTTAGGGTCCTTTTAGAAGCAAAACGGGGTGCCGCCTCTTTCAGGTTCCTAAGAATGGAGCCCAGTCTAAGGTTTAGAGAGCCACCCGTCCATGGTTTGGGGTTTAGGTTCCGGGTCAGTTGAACAGGGTATACACCAGTCTACGCAGAAACTCCTTTCACGGCCGTCTGTAGGTACTGTAAACCCTAAACCCTAAACCCTAAACCCTAAAACCCTAAACCCTAAACCCCTAACCCCTAAACCGGCGCAGGATTTGAGGTTTAGAGCTGCTGAACTGCAGGGTTCTCGGAGGAACAGGGGGGGTTTAGGGGGTTTCTGGAGGAAAAGTGGGGGTCTAGGGTTTAGGGTTTAGGGATTAGGGTTTAGGGTTTAGGCATTAGGGTTTAGGGTTTAGGGTTTGCAGCATTGGGAAGCTGGGAGAGCGAAGCGGGCGTAGCGTTCAGTGCTCAGTGCCTAATTAGGGCGCTTGGCATTGATTCGCAAGGCCCTCTGCGACAGAAGTATGGGCTGATGCTGCAGTCCGCTGAGTGTCATGACAGCATTTCCGAAGATCGGTTGTCGAGTAAGATTTTGGGGCCCTAAAAATCGCCAACATAATTTTTGAGGGAACGTCATCATGCATCTTTCTGTTTTTTGTGCCTCAAAACCCTCCTATAACTATCTAGCCCACTTACGGCCAAACTATCTTCAACCTATCTCATGTCCCGTTGTCCATCGCTCTGTTCTGCTTGTCGCAACGACGACAACCGCACAAAGGGCACTACGGTTATCATCAAGGTGAGTTGCTTGTTCTTTGTTGCGGTTAGCAGCACCTGATGATGCCCAGAATTGGCTTGTTTGCTTTGGCCCAAGCCTTCGCTTCGATCACGTTTGGGCGATGCTTGTGGTGCAGGTCGGGCTGATCAGTGGCAGGACAGTTACACTCGATGCCGGGTCGGATGAAGAGGTGGGAGCCTACATACTGAAACTCACTCAAGCCGACCCAAAGCCAAGCCGAAAGGCCCCCCCCCCCCCTAACGTCCTAAAGCCGCCGAACAGGTGTCTCAAAGAATTACCAATACTATTTTGGGGTTCTGTATTACAGGTATAGTAGAATATATTATATATATATTTTTTTTATACCCCCTGATTCTAATTACGAAGGCCCCTACATCAAAAGCCCCCTGAAGCCCCAAGCGCTATGAAGAGGTGGGAGCCTTGAAGCGCAGGGCGCAGAGAGAATTGGGAGTTGGCAAAGGCCGATTGTTGGATTCAGGTGGAAGCATCTGGGTTGCCGTTAAGGAACTCAAGCTGAGTAAGGAAACCCTACTATTTGCTATATATCCCCATTATGGTAGCTTGAATGACGCTCCTTGAAAGCAACCCAGGCATTCTGGATGAGCATGCATCCATGAAGAAAGCGAAGGTGCGGCATGGCGATTCGCTGACCTTTCACATCAGCAGAACCCAAGTCTTTTGCAGCTCAATGGCATTTGCTGCCATTCTTGGCGACAAATCGGTGGTGACCTGGGGCGATTGGCGCCATGGTGGTAACAGCACTGATGTGCAGCACCAGCTGAAGAATGTTCAACAAATCCAAGCCTCTCGGGATGCTTTTGCTGCTATCGTTGGCGACAGGTCTGTCGTGACTTGGGGAAATCATAATTTTGGTGGTGATAGTACTGCTGTGCAGGATCAGCTCAAGAATGTGCAACAGATCCAAGCCTCGAGGGATGCCTTTGCTGCCATCATTGGCGACGGGTCTGTCGTTACCTGGGGCAATCGTAACTTTGGTGGCGACAGCGCGTCCGTGCAGGACCAGCTGAGAAACGTGCAGCAGATCCAAGCCTCTCAGTTTGCCTTTGCTGCTATTGTTAGCGATGGATCTGTCGTGACCTGGGGCGATCCTGAACATGGTGGCGACAGCTCCGCCGTGCAGGACCGGCTGAAGCACGTGCAACAGATCCAGGCCTCGAGGCATGCCTTTGCTGCGGTTGTTGATGATGGGTCTGTCGTGACATGGGGCGATCCTCTTTGTGGTGGGGACAGTACTGCCGTGCAGGAGCAGCTGAGGAACGTACAGCACATCCAAGCCTCCGACGCTGCCTTTGCTGCTGTTCTTTGTGATGGATCTGTCGTGACCTGGGGTCATGGAATGTGCTTTAATCCGCTCCTCGGCATTTCTTGCGCGGGTGAGAAGCTCAAAAACGTGCGACGGATTCAAGCTTCCATTGCTGCCTTTGCTGCAATTGCTGCTGATGGCTCCGTGCTGACGTGGGGTTCCTCTTTCTCCGGCAGTGACAGCACTGCTGTGCAGGATCGATTGAAGAACGTTCAACAGATCCAGGCGTCGAGGGATGCCTTTGCTGCCATCCTTGATGACGGATCCGTGGTGACATGGGGCTCTGGTTATTCTGGTGGTGACAGTACTGCTGTGCAGGATCAGCTTAAGAATGTGCAACAGATCCAAGCCTCGAGGGATGCCTTTGCTGCCATCATTGGCGACGGGTCTGTCGTTACCTGGGGCAATTGTAACTTTGGTGGTGACAGCACTGCCGTGCAGGACCAGCTTAAGAATGTGCAACAGATCCAAGCCTCTGAGTTTGCTTTCGCTGCTGTTCGCGGTGATGGCTCTGTCGTAACCTGGGGCGATCCTCCGTCTGGTGGAGACAGCTCCGCCGCGCAGGAGCAGTTGAGGAATCTCCAAGCGCATCAAGCTGGAGGCCGCGCTTTTGCTGTCACTGCTGGCTACTAATATTTGTTGCTCTGCTGTGGAATCATCACAAGACAGGGTGACATCTACAGGCGCGGCCTGCGCACCTGGATGCTGCAACTTTCGAAGCGATAGCTCTTGCGTCCATGTACATAAAATGTCCGCAGACGGAGATGATGTGCTGCCAAAATAGCGTGTCCCATGTGTTTAGTTGCGTGCTCATCGCGACCGTTGCTGCGCAGGCCTACCGCACACCGCAAGCGCTGCAAAGATTGTTTTCACTGAGCGATCCATCCGAGGATGTGGCCCTAGGCCCTGTTACAACCAGAAATCTTCCCCCCATGTCTCACCGCACGCACGCGATGTGTCATGAATGTTGAGGGTGTTGCAAGTATCTTTACATACACATAACATAACATAACATAACATAACATAGCATAACATAACATAACATAACACAACATAACATAACATAACAGAACAGAACAGAACATAACATAACATAGCATAACATAGCATAGCATAGCATAACATAACATAACATAACATAACATAACACAACATAACATAACATAACATAACATAACATAACATAACATAGCAAAACGTTACGTTAATTTGCATTACATTGCATTACATTGCGTTACACTGCATGACATTGCAATACAATGCATTACATGGCACTGCAATGCATTGCGTTGATGCATGCATACATACATACATACATACATACATACATACATACATACACTTATACATATACATCGTACATCTATCTCAGAAGTCGAACTACGAATGGTTTAGGATTCTAGGCTTCATGCACGGGCCGTACCCTAAACCCTGCACCCTGCGGTGGTTGCCTAACCAGCCTCGCGCGCAGAGTCCGAGTTGTGAGAGTCCGAACGCTACTGTGGGTCATGCGACGCTGTGCAAGATGTTTCGTCGAGGGGTTGCCCACAAATTACTTTGCAGGTGGAAGCTTAACACCCAAAGCCTAAAAGACTTGGATGCCTGATCCCGCCAGCACATGCCCCAAGCCGGAAGAGCCTTTCAGAAAGGTTGGCCTCCGGCAGCACCCAGCTACAGGGCAACGGGGGAGCGCCAAAGGAGGCGGTGGTGGACGGCGTGCTGGCCATGTCCCTTTGAAACAGAAGAGGGCAGGGGGGTGGGGGTCTGAGGCCTAGGGTCTCACAGTCAGAGTCTAGGGTGATGGTTGAGGACCTGTTGTTTCTGGCCGTTGTGGGGGTTTAGGGCTTCTAAGCTTATCGGGTAGAAGGACCTCAGCCAGTGCCTAGTTTGCATATCATCAAGCCGAAAGGCTGAAGCCCCAAGAGCATGCAAGCCGCCCAGAAACGTGGGACGTTGAACAGTACTACGACGACGACGACGACTACTGCGACTTATTGCTACGACTGCTAGTGCTTGCTACTATACTACGACGACTGACTACGGGGACCACTACTTGTCACCAGCTTCGCCTTGATTCTAGACCCTAAACCCTAAAAAAAAACCTAAACCCTAAAAAACCCCAAACCCTAAACCCTAAACCCTAAAAAAAACCCCAAACCCTAGCAAAAGCCCTAAACTCTAAACCCTAAACCCAGCTTCAGGATCCTCGACCTTCTTCTTCAAGCTTCAGGGACCGCATGTGTCTACATCGCGGCCTATGTTAGCCTCCAGGCCCGTGGTTGGGGGGTTAAGGGCTCCTGAGGGTGCCTAAACCCTATTCCCTCAACCCTATTGGGGTTTAGGGTTTAGGGTTTAGGGTTTGTACCCTAAACCCTACCCCCTCAACCCTATTAGGGTTTAGGGTTTAGGGTGCTATCTCCGCGCGTTTCTCTGGGTGTGGCCCCCGGCTGATTGGATAGCGCTCCGGGTTGAAAAACAAGGGTTTTTTCAGAGCCAGAGCCCTCACAGAGGGTTGGGGGTTGCGGAGCTTAGAACTTAGAATCTAAGGCGTGGGCGCCATATCCTGCATGATTTTGCGGGAGGTTTCTAGCATGACTCGTGAGAGCGGTGTCTTACTGCGCAAGGTGAGGGGTTGATGTGACTATAGAGCACATGGAGATGCTTTCCAGCTTCTTTGAGTAGTTTGGGATTGCGTTCGGTTAAATTGGCATCGGGGAGGCCCATCAACTGGAAAGACAATCTGAACATACTCTAGCTAAGCAACATCGCAAACCTCGCTCATAGTTTGCCTCAAAGGGCCTCACGGGCATGTTCGCAATGTTCGGCTTTCTGCTTTACAGAAGGCGCATGCGCCCACGGAAATCCTAGGAGCCCAAGGTGTCGGCACCGACCACGGCACCCCGAAGCCGTGCCACGCAGAGGAAGTCGGGAAGATGGTCTCTCGTTAAGCAGTCGTCAGTCGATCATCGTCATCTTCCCTAGCTTTGTCGGGTTTAGGCCGCTACCATCACCACCGCGACCACCAGACTGCTATCCGTGTCACCGAGTTCACAACTATCAACGTCCCGATCGCTGCTAGAATCGCCCCCAACCCTCAACCCTAAATCCCCCACCCCAAATCCCAAACTCGAAGCCCTAAGCAAGGCCGAGACCCGAACGTCGAAACCGAATGGCAGGATATGTACCAACTCTCGGCCGCCAGTGCGGCGCTGCCTCAGTGACCCGGCCGGAACTCCTTCTGGGCTTCAGCTGGGTTTTGGGGGTCTTTTTGGGTTTAGGGTTTAGGGTTTAGGGTTTTTGGGGAGGTTCTTTTTCGGGCTCTAGGGTTTACGGGAGGTTCCTTCAAGGGCTCCAGAGGCTTTAGGGTCTGGCTTCTTTTCAGGGTGCTAGGGTTTATGGTCTACCTGCTGTAATAAGGAACCCAAG